CTGCCTCTCTCACGACCTCTGCCTCTTCTTTGCCCTCTACCTCTAGAGCTTGAAGTTTCACTTGGTGTGGATATCTTTAAGGCTGTCATCTCCTCTATTGCACTTGTACGATTGAGCCTCTTCTCATCTACTAACAGGGAGCTTTGGAGTTCATCTATTTGCATTTCCTCGACATTGTTTGCTTCTTCGATAGAACATACAATGTAATCGAACTTTGGTGTTAGTGATCGCAAAATCTTTTCTACGACCGCAACATCTGTGATTGAACCACCATGCATCCTCATTTTACTTGCAAGACTTATAACCTTGCCAATATAATCATTCACTATTTCTCCCTTTTGCGTTTGGAGAATTTCAAAGTCTCTCCTAACTGCCTGTAGTTGAGCACGTTTTACTCTCGTTGAGCCTTGATACTTCCTCCTCATAGAGTCCCAAATTTCTTTGGATGTCTTCTTCTGAAGCATTGTTTCCAAGATAGTCCTATCAATGGACTGAAATAAATAGTTCTTGACCTTCAGGTCCTTCAACTTCGATGCTGCCAACAGTTGCTGTCGATCAGCTGAGAGTACCTCGCCTTCATTTGGCTCTTCATAACCTGTTTCCACCATATCAAAGAACTCCTTTGATCTGAGAAAATTTTCCATCAACATCGCCCAATGATCATAGTGACCGTCGAACCTCGGGATGGCTGGCTGAACGTAGTTCTCAACTTGTTTTTCTGCTGCCATTTTTGCTGCTGCAAGATTGCTCTGATACCATGTTAGACGAACACGACTCTCCACAATAATATGATATTGTCCACTTTGAGCGTAAGCTCTCATGGCTTTGCTTTGGGCTTCCCAAAAGGCCTCATTCCAATGGAGTTAGTATTCCTCACTTATAAACCCCTCGAACAAAGCAAGCCTCCCCTTAATCGAGGCTCGACTCCTTTGGAGTCTTAGTCATTTTTGACTGCCTTCGTACCTTCGAGGAGGCTTGACTCCTTTTTTCTTTTTGGAGTCCTTTGTTCGACATTCGAGGATTTTTCAATCTATTGGCACGGCTAAGTTTAGGGCATGGCTCTGATACCAGTTGTTGGTGACAACAGAAAACTGAATTGAGATTGAGAGGAGGAGTGATTTGAGTGATGGGGAGGGAGGTCCTTTTATAGGGGATCCCCGGAATTGGTTGAGATTTTTGTGGAGATTTATGGATGATTTTGTGGATGAATTTGAATTCACCTCCTCCTTCTCTTCCGTAACTAATTCAAATTCTATTATTAGCTATTATTAGTTTCAACAATTCTGATGGTAGCGAGCTATTCAAGACAATCAAGACAAGGTAATTATGTAGTAACAACAAAATAAAACCAAGAAATGAACAAATAAATAAGGGACAAAGAAATTTTTGGATATAATTGCACACTGAAAAAAAAATGAATTCCAAAGAGAATGGTTGTGAAGATCGAACACAACAATTCCAGATTTATATGTTTTAGGAAAGAATGAGAATAGAAATTTATTTGATCTTCAAATAAACGTGCAAATCGACTAATGATAAGAATATATTAAGGACAATATGATAAGGTTTTTTTTTTTCTTTCAAGATCTAAATATGATCTTTAATAGGACACTGAGAACAAAGTAGAAGGATAATGAAGAACGTTCGAAATGACAGTAAGAAAATAAATGACAGATTTAAAGAGACGATAAACAATAACGGAAATTAAAGATAAAATCAATTCTAGAGTCGGCCACAAAGATGCAACCTGGCTCTGATACCAAACTGATAAGGCAACCCTAATCCTCAGCCCAACGATCCAAGCTTTTATTTTAGCAAGAACCCTTGAATCAAAGTAATTAACACCTCCTTATGCGAAATTTGGATCAACCAAGAGATAAGGCTAGAATTAGATTACCTCTTACGATCGAAGCTCTAGAAGCAAGATTTAGAACCTTGTTCTAAATTGAGTCACTCCACAATATAACTTGATCAAGGCTTGATTGAATGGCTCAGGTGCAATTCTACCACAAGAATTGCTTGAAACTTAGAAATGGCAAATAAGATGCCCGGATTTCTAAGGGAAACGTCTCAATTTGAGATCTGAATTACATTCATCAACGAATCTAATTTTTACATAACATATTGTGGGTATTTATAGTCTCCCGACAAAAGACGTTTGTGGCCGGGATTCAATCCCGATATGTTTATGGACGGGATTTATTCCCGATCCCCTTTAATCTCCACAAAGAATAAGTCAAATTGACCATTTGACTTTTACATAATTTATGAAATTAAACATAGTTTTTTTTTTACAAATTTTGATGTGCTTGAGTGGTTAATGCGACAGATTTGAAATTAATTGAGCTCTTCATGCTTAGGTTCAAATTCTATCATGCAAAGCATAACGATCGTTGTCCTTCCATTGGATATATGCATGTAAAATCATTCAAGCTTGACATGATCAATCTTACACGTGAAGTGATTCGAATCTCAATTAGGTGTTCTTGTCTTGAGATATTGGATCAACAAGAATCATTCAAGCTAGACATGATCGATCTTGCTTGTGGAGTGATTCGAATCTCAAACNTCATTCAAGCTCGACGTGATCAATCTTGTTTGTGGAGTGATTCGAATATCAAACAAGTGTTTGAGATATTTGATCAACAAGAATTATTCAAGCTAGACATGATTGATCTTGCATGTGGAGTGATTCGAATCTCAAACAATGTTCTTGCCTTGAGATATTCGATCAACAAGGTAATCCGAATCTTACTCCCCTTGTAGTGATTTCCACATATCACAATGTACTCCAATTCAGTGTGGGAACTTGTAGATCAACCAGATGGGGTAAAACCTATTAGTTGCAAATGGATCTATAAGAGGAAACGAGACTAAATCGGTAAGGTACAGACCTTTAAAGCTCGACTTGTAGCAAAGGGTTATACCCAAAGAGAGGGGGTGGACTATGAAGAAACCTTCTCTCCTGTTGCTATGCTTAAATCGATTAGAATACTCTTGTTCATTGCCACATTTTATGATAATGAAATTTGGCAAATGGATGTTAAGAAAACCCTTCTAAATGACAATCTTGAAGAGAGTATCTATATGGCTCAACTAGAGGGGTTCATTGAATCGGATAACGAGCAAAGGGTTTGCAAGCTTAAAAGATCCATTTATGGGTTGAAGCAAGCATCTCGATCCTGGAAAATAAAGTTTGATACTACGATCAAATCTTATGGCTTTAAACAAAATGTTGACGAACCTTGTGTTTATAAAAAGATAGTCAACTCTACTGTAGCTTTCCTGGTGTTGTACGTTGACGATATCCTACTCATTAGGAACGAGGGGAGTCGCGCTGTAGACGTGCCACGTGGCACAATCAGAGGGCGACGCGTATGCGGGGGTCTCGGGTCGAGGCGCGGGTTATCGAATCGCTCGCGGGTCTCGGGCCGTTCGTAGGTTTTGGGCCGATCGCGGGTGACAGGTCGGCCCGACTGAAGGAAAAATGTAGGTGGGCTGGGCTGGGCGTGTCAGCGTTGGACTGGGCTTGCGGGTCTCGGGTCGAGGCTACGGATTGGGCCATAACTGGGTTTACGCGTTTTAGGCTGAAGCGACTAGGCCGCGGGAGCCGTCGAGTACTGGTGATATGAAACAAAAGACATCAATCATACAATATACTTCAATGAAGATGTGAAGAAAAGGTTGACAAAATTATCAAAAGATGTTTCAATTCATGCCACATTGAAGAAGAATGAAGTTTGATTGTTGTAAATTTTAGGTGGGTTACAATTTAGAGTAATTTAGAGTTATTGTATTTTAAGACTTTTTATTTAATTTCGGTTACATTTACATAATGGCTAATTACGGCCATAAAGTATGAATGTTACAACTCTTGGAATGTCTTTTTCATTTTTTAGGCTATATAAAGCCTTGTATGTTGTATTTGTAAGCACATTTGGAAAATATAGTAANATGTTACAACACTTGAATGTCTTTAATAGTTTCATTTTTTAGGCTATATAAAGCTTTGTATGTTGTATTTGTAAGCAGATTTGGAAAATATAGTAAAAGAAGCATTTGTGCTCTTCTTTAGCCAATGACTAAGTTTATTTGCAATTCTATGTTGTTTAGGTTGCATGTAGAATCATTCAAGCTCAACATGATCAATCTCGCTTGTGGAGTGATTTGAATCTCAAACAAGTTTTCTTGCGTTGAGATATGTAATCANGCTGGTGGAGTGATTCGAATCTCAAACAATGTTCTTGCCTTAAGATATTCCATCAACAAGGTAATCTGAATCTTACTCCCCTTGTAGTGATTCCTTATCTTATCAACTGGGCTGACCTAAGGTGATTCGGTAGATCTTCGGGTTGCGGGCTTCGTCTTCTTCACTCGATTGCCTGCGCATTTATCTGGCGACTTTTCTCTCTCCTCATTAACTTTGTTTCGACGTCCTTTTTCCCTCCTTTTTCCTCTGTTCCCGAGTCTCTTCTTCCCCCTAACCCCGTTTTTGGTATAGATCTGGTTTGTAAAGGCCTCACACTCCCGGATCTGGAGAAGTTCGGAAATCCAATGTTCTGTCTCCCTTGCCGATGGTGTTCAACATATAGGATTCGTCTAAATCTACCCTTGATGTGTGTAAAAGGTTATGAGATTACTTTTGTTGTGTAAAATGGAGGTTTTGACACCGATTTCGTATGGTTTGGCATCGCCGGAGTTTCGTCGGATTTTTCTGTTCCTCTTCGTTTTTTTCTCTATTTTTTGTTCTTTCCAAGTCATTTTAGGGTGGCTAAAGGTCGGGGTCGAGTTCTGTGGCATCCCAGCCTTCGACCGCCCTTTGTGGGTCGTGTGCGAGCGAAAACTCCGGCGTTCGCCAGAGTTTTCAGTTCTGCCAACAACCCCCCCTTTTTTTTAATCTAATCCGTTACAATTATAATATGTGAATTGTCTATTAATACTTATGGTACGATGTGTTCAATGATATGTTTGAGATAGGATGCAAAAAGGATGCACTGAACGTAATGTAATGATATGAGTAAGATATGTTGATGAAACGTTAAGGTTAGGTTACGTATAGAAGTGATATGGATATGATAGATTGATAAAAACGATATGGTCAAAATCGATTGATAAAAGTATTTGGTTAGGTTATGGGTAAAAAGAGATAGGATTATGATAGATTAATAAAACGATAGCGTTAGGATACGTTCCAGTAACGATATGACTAAGGTACGTTCATGAAACAATATCACTGTGACAGGTATAAGAATTTTAAGGCTATGATAAATTAGGGAACGATATGACCATGAAGTTTTTACGATACGATATGATTATGATACAACACCTGAATGACAGATAAATATATATATACACACACATTGTGATATGATATGAAAAT